GGGATGAAGGTGAGGGCGTAGGCGTCGGGGAAGACCTGCGGCTTGAAGCCCTGCAGGATGGAGTCCACCAGCAGGCGCACGCGGTCCTCGTCGTGGTGGCTGCAGCGGATGCCCCGCACCAGCCCGCTGTCCTCGACGCCCACGAACAGATTGCCGCCCTCGCTGTTGAGGAAGGCGCACACGTAGCGGCGCACGTGGTGCTTGAGCGCCAGGCTCAGGTACTCGCCGCTGCCGCGCTTGAACTCCACGTTGCGCGTCTCGCTGCCCAGGAAGGCGCCCTGGAAGAGCCGCTCCTGGCCCAGGACCTCCTGGCGCACGATGGCGCTGTCCGAACGCGTGCCACAGGGCTGGGGGTGGCCGTCCCGCGGCCCCCGGGGGGCCGTCTGGGGCCGGCTGACCGGCGACTTCCCGCTGCAGCCCGCCCTCCCCCCGCTGCGGTCCGGACTGGCGCTGGGGCTCGGGCTGGGACCCGGGCTCGGGCCACCGTCTTCCTCCTGCGAAGAGCGTGAGAGGCTGAGCAAGAGTCCGTGCCCTGCGTGCTCACGGGAGGGAGGGTCAGCCTGCTAGAGCGCCCCCCCCCCACTCCAGTTCCTCCCGGGGTGGCCCCACAGGCGCCGCCCTAGTGCCCACTCCCACCAGCCAATGCCGGTGGGCCCCGGGTCTCCGCTTGGCCGAACCCTCCCTCTGCTGGGATGGCCCTCCAGGGTCTAGGCGGGGGGTAGGGTGGGAGTGGGGGGGACTTCTCCCTGGCTGTGAGCCCGAACACCTGCGGTCCAATAGTGTGCCCATGGGGGTCGGGGGCTCCAAGGTGCAGCTTAGGATCATACCTGCAGATGAGTCAGGAGCACCTGGATATCCCTGGATTGAGAGGGACCCCTTCCCTTCCTAAGCCCCCTGGAGCCCTCCTTGCCTTTGACCAGCCCTCCCAGGCTCTGGAAAGCCGTCCCTGACCTCCCATCAGTGTCCGTTCAGGACTCTAGACATGTGCCCTTACAGCCACCTCCCTCAGCTGGGCCCCTTTGGTCTGGTCAGCCCTGGGAGGGCTGTGCCTGCTCCTTGCTGGACCCCTGCCCCCACCCCTTCCCCTTCCCAAATGCAAGTCAGATTAAGCCCCTCCCCTCTGCAGCCCACTTGCAGACCTCCGTAACAGACTCAGGGCCCTGGGCTCCTCATTGCCCTGCAGCTCCCGGAGAGGCCAATGCGTCCTTAGGCACTGGAGAGAACACTCATAGACACAGGCCTCCAGGGTCTGGTCTGTTCTGCGGTAGTTTAAACACCCTGGCTCTCCCAGCACTATCACAAACCTGGCCTGGGAGGGGCCCACCACAACCACAGCCAGGTGACTGTCCGCCCCACCCCCCTCCCCACGTGCATGCCCAGTCAGCCTTTCCCTCCCACTTGGCCTGCCCCAGCTGTTTTCCTCCTTTCCCTGCAGTCTTGGCCCTGAGCTCCGAGTACACCTACTGGCCTACCCTTCTGCCAGCAAAGGGACGGACTGTTCTTTTGCAGGAACAGGGTCCTTCTGTCCGGAATGCCCTTCCCCACTGAGTGCCTGCCCCTCCTTTCCCTGCCTCCTGGCCCTTGTCCAGCACAAAGCAGCCCCTGGCAGTTGTGTAAAGGAACTCGCTGGTGTGCGCACCCCCTTCACCCCCAGCATCGCTGGCTGGCAGTTTCATTTTGGTTTCACTGCCTGGAGCCTGTTTGTCCACTGAATGAGTGAAGTGGGCCCAGGAGAAACTCAGGACTCAGAGGCGGGGCTGCAAAGGGACCCAGGAACAAGGGCACCCAGGGGCCACTTCACATGTGCTTCAAGATTGGAGGTCAATTGTAAAGGGCATCGACCCTCTGGGTGGACAGCCATCCCATCAGCTTCAGTAGCAGCCCCCAATTTGACAGAAGGGGGCTCCTCCAAGACACCCCTCCACCCTCACCTAGGCCCAGCCATTGGCACCCAGGCCTCTCCTAGGCCTGTGCCTGGGGGGAGCTGCTCACCTCTTTGCCGAGGGAGGGCTGCGTGCCCTCCCTCACCACCAGCTCCTTTCCTCGGGCGGCCAGCTCCTTGATGACCCGGTGCTCCTTTGTGGCCGCCTGCAGGCGCGAGGGCAGTGTGGCCAGGGCAGCCTCGGGGGCAGCCACCTGCACCACCGCATAGGCCTTGCGAGGCCGCCTCACCACTTGGATGTCCTCCCGCGCCACTGGCACCTTGAGCCGCTCCAGCGTGTCCCGCAGCAAGCAGGTGAGCACGGGCACGGAGAACTGGGGGTTCAGGTGGTTCACGCACAGAGTGCGCACGGCGGGGGCTCCCTCAGGGGCAGCACCTGCCCCCAGCACAGGTATTTCCGGGGGCTCCTTCTGGCATTCTCTGGAAGGCATTCTGAGACTGCTCACAGCTGGCAGCTCCTCCTGGGGCTCTGGGCCCAGAGGCTCCTGGGGAAACTCAGGAGTTGTCAAGACTCCTGGGAGGCTCCGCGGAGGGTAGGGGCTGGGCAGGGCCATGGAGCAAGGGGGGGATCTCAGGGCCAGCAGGAAAGGGCTGGTCACCTACCCGGTCATGCAGAGCTGCCGGGTGGCCTTGCCCCTCCGTCCCACAGACAGGAAGACAGAGGCCCCCAGGGGAGGGACCTGAGGTGGAGAAGACCAGACTCATGTCTCTGGGGCCATTGGTAATTCTCTCAAGAGCCCCCGAGACCCTTACTCTGCTCCCGGCCTGCTCTCTCCCCAAGCTCACTTGGTGAGGTGGCCCCCATATTTCCTGCCCACCTAAAGCCCACTGATGCCTCCAGGCAACAGGGAAACTTTTTAAGAGGGATTTCTCCTACAGGAGGCTTAGCCAGAAGCCCTGTGGCAGAGCCTCTCTGCTGGTCTACAGCCTAGCCCGAGGCCAATGGAGGCTTCGAAACACGTGGCCCTATGGCGGCATCCCTCGAACTTATGCACATATCTTAGGGGGCTTCAAAAAGTTGGTGGAAAAATGGAGTTAAAAGATAATGAAATTTATCCAGGAACTTTCTGAAGCCCCTGGCACATAGAATTCCAGGAGGTTCGGAGCCCTGTTGAACGATTGCTAGTTGGCTCCCCTGGCAATCTGCTTCCATGCCGATGACCAGAAAACAACACAACACCCAAACTCACTGCCATTGAGTTGACTGCAACTCACGGTGACCCCATAGGACAAGGTAGAACTGCCCCAGTGAGTTCCCACGAGTGTAACTGTTTACGGGAGTAGAAAGACCCTTCTTTCTCCCGAGCAGCTGCTGGTGGTTTTGAACTGCGGCTCATGACGATTATAGCCCAGAAAACTCTATGGGCAGTTCCGCTCTGCCAGAGGGTTGCCGAGTGGGAATGGAAGCTTCCATTGCTGAGCATGAGAAGGGTCCGAGCTGGCCAAGACCCCTGATCCCTGGCCTGGTGACTGCTCTTTGCACTCACAACCCCCACCCCCACCCCACTCGCACTCACACCCAGCCTTCCGCTGGTGTGGCAGCTCCCATGAACCTGCATCTTTTCAGATCTAATCTTTGACCCTCCGGGCCTGGGGCCACCATGGCGGGGGTGTGAGCATTGGGGGCCAGCAGCAGGAGAGGAAGGGAGGCCTGTGACCTTTATATCCTCGAGGCTCCCCGGAAGCACTAGCTTGAGATCCCACCGCACTCTGTCACCTGGCTAGCAGCACCCAGGGCACGGGCCCCATCCCCTGAGACTTTGGCTGAGGAGCTGGGCGGGGCCTGTGCTCTGTGATCTCACACAGGGCACCAGTGCTTTCCAGGCCAGCCTCAGGTGGGCCAGCTGGGGACCGCCAGCAGAAGCTCCCCCTCCCCCAGCTCGCCTGAGCAGACTCGGCTCCCCACACACTGCCCACCAAGCCTGGCGATAGGCTGCTCCGGGGAGTGCAGGACTGAAGACATACTTGTTCCACCTGCCATGTCTCGCAGCTCTCCCTCACCCGAAGGTGCTCGGTCTGGAGTCCAGCAGCACCCTTTTAGTCAGTCACCTATCCCAGGGTCCCCAGGATGAATCTGAATGCACAGGGCAGGTCCCAGGGCTCCCCCAGCCCCAGCCCTCCTCTGCCCCGGGACACAGGGCGCTGTCCAAAAGATCCTGGAGAACTAGGTCAAGCACTGCCATTCCTTTTGAAGGACAGGGTTGTCAACCTGCTGTTTGACAGGGACCAAGACAAGTGACACCCGAGCCTTCATCGATGCTGACATCGGTCCTTGGGGGGGAGACCTTTTGGCAGGTGGGTTTCATTCTGCAGATGTGTGGTAGCAGGCATTTCCCCACCATGCTTCTGGGAGCCCTGACGTGGGCAGAAGCGAGTCCAGGGCTAGGTGGCCTGACGTTTCCTGGAGAAAGCTGCCATCTTGGTGGCTGCCATTATGAAGATGGCCCTGAATCTTGATTCCCTTAGAAATGGAGGAAGACACCTGCATGGGGAACATGGGAGACCAATTTGGGGGGGTAAGGAAGAGCCCAGGCCCATATAGGCTTTGAGGAGAACTGCCAGCAGGGAGACCTCCAGAGGGGCCATGGCTTAGCTGGTGCAGTGACATCTGAGAGCCGGGGTTAAGCTTTCCTGTCCTCTGTCCCCCCAGCCTTGTGTTAACTGTATGAGGGAACGTGAAAAAAACATCCAGTCCATACATGTTTATTCCAAACAGTGTTTAAACGGTTTGCAGTGTTTCCTGTCCGGCGATCTGGAGTGGCTGCAGATCCCACCTCTCAATACTCTTGTCTCAGCCTTCAACACAAAGCCCAGTGACCACTGGCTTCTGGGGGGTCTGCTGGGTTCAGTTACATTCATCACAGAGTATGATCTGGGAACCATATGGCAATAAATGGCGGTTTTTAACAGTTCAGTGCTGAGAGGTCTGTTGTTTGGGGATTCCCACGGGATGATTCGGCAGATATTCTTAAAAGGACACAGGAGGCCATGGGAGTTAATATGAACAAGTTTTTAGAAAACAGAATTTTTGCCCGAGGAAAAAAAAACCCAGTTAAGTTGCCCTGAGAGGATAGGTCATGAGACAGCAGCTTCACACTTTGGCATTTTGTGTTAAGTGAAGGTTTCCGTGATTTTGTAGCAATACATTTGGCCTACTCTTTTTTTTTTTTA